CGGCGCTTATGAATGAATATCGAGTCCCAGAACTCAATGTACAAAACGGTGTCCTCAAGTCATTGGCCTTTCTCTTCGAATACATCGGCGAAATGGGAAAGGATTACATCTATGCCATCACTCCTCTTCTAGAGGACGCCCTAATGGACAGGGATTTGGTCCACAGACAGACCGCGTGCGCCGCCATTCAGCACATGGCTCTCGGCGTCTATGGTTTTGGTTGTGAAGACGCGTTGACACACATTATGAACTACGTCTGGCCCAACATTTTCGAGACCTCCCCTCACTTGGTCCAGGCCTTCATGGGAGCCATCGAGGGCTTGAAGGTGTCGTTGGGACCCATCAAGATGTTGCAGTACACCATCCAGGTCTGTACCACTCATGTCATGTACGCATATATGCTAATCATGTCTGTCCGCTGCCATAGGGTCTCTTCCATCCGGCGCGCAAAGTGAGAGATGTCTATTGGAAAGTCTATAACACTCTCTACATCGGAGGTCAGGACACACTAGTGGCCGGTTATCCCAGAGCTTCGAATGACTCGAAGAATAATTATATTCGTTATGAATTGGATTACGCGCTCTAATTATGTCCGTTTCGTTTGGAGTCCTGTTTTGAGTTAAAGTTTTAAAATGAGATGTCATTAAAACATTAATTATTATTACATTAAACACTTTTCTTTTTCACTTTTACCACAAATTTATCAAAATAAAAAATTATATTATCTGTATTTTGATTTGATGTAAATTTGGATTCAATTTTCAATAAATTCTTTCATATAAATGTAAAAATAGAGTAAAATTTAATGTATAATATTCTACTGTATGTATGTATTTATTACTTACAATGATTGCCCAAATGACAAGACTTTTATCGTTTTGTGAATTGCATTAAAGGAAAAACAATTTCCAAATTAAAGACTTAAATCTAATGATGAAAATAGTGTACCTTTTAATGAAATGTTTGTATGAATCGAGTGCTTCGTCCAAACCTTTACATTAAATGTAATGCTTTTTAGCAAAAACTCATGAATGCATTCAATGCTGTAATGAATGACAATAATTCCTATTGAAAAGAAAACTCATTTTCTTTTTTGAAGATTTCAAATCATATTTTGTAGAAATGATGTAAAAATGCATTATTTGAATGAGAAATTGAATTACCGAAACATCCAAATAGAGTAAACGCTAAAATATAGATATTAGATCAAATAATGCATTTTAGATACTGATATTAATTATATCAGAGGTGCCCATAGAGACAGCAAGGTTCAGTTTTGTTTATAGACTCTTGCAAACATATTGATTTGTCAGCATTTTGTCAGAGTTTAGTTTTAAGCAGAATCTCCTAAGCAAGCATATTTGTTTTATTGAATACTGCCGTATCATAAGATTTAGAAAAATAAGTGGTAATAAAG